ACCCCACATTCAAGCATTCAAGTTCCTGCTTCAATTCTGAAATTAACTTCCTCCAGAAAACTAAGAATGCTTCATCTTATAGAATTGATTAACTACAAACCATTTTCCAGAAAGTCTAAAATTTTGAGACCAAAAAAAAAAAGGCAGTATTACTAGAAAATGGGCATAAAACTATCACGCATTCCTTAACCAAACAATAGGAGCATAAAGCAGTAGTAATCACACATCTACAAATAAAAACATCCAAAATTAGTATCTACTTGTGTAAATCAATAAATGTGGAGTGGTGGAGAAGGAGATGGTAGGAGCACTTCAACAATAACTTAGTTTAAAAAAATCGATTTAATAGAACCCATTTCAAAAGTTTGCATGAACACATCAAAAAATAATGTATCCGTGTCGGTGTCGATGTAGATGTCGGGAAAGAAGGTCATGATGTCGTGGAGTTTTGAGCGGAAGTTGTGAATGTGGATCTTAAGATAGCACCTTAAGTTATCAAACAAAGAGAACTCTCACAATCTGAACATTATTTTTATTACACTTACATTGGAATTTAATGGAATGAGAAAGTCATTATAATATCATTCCATTTACAATTTAGTAGAATATTAAGTGCTTAAATAACAGACATTGGAATCAATTAGTTGATTGAGTGCTAGGAGTCCTTTGGAGACTAACTAATGAATAGTACGCTCCCTTTGGCCCTTTAGCTAACAAGGAAGAGTGAGTACCTTGTTCTACCACTTTCCCTTTGCTCAAAACAGCAATCATATCACAATTTTGTATGGTACTTAGCCTGTGTGCCACAACTACACTGGTCCTCCCAACCATCACACGCTCAAGTGCATCTTGCACCACCTTCTCTGACTGGCTGTCTAACGCACTTGTGGCCTCATCTAGTAACAACACCGCGGGATTTTTCAAAATGGCACGTGCTATGGCAATTCGTTGCTTCTGCCCGCCGGATAGCTGTAGCCCTCTATCACCGCACCATGTGTCGTACCCATCCCTCAAACTTGCAATAAATTCATGGGCGTTTGCTGCCTTAGCTACCGCGATGATCTCAGCTTCATCGACGTGTTCTGATGCTCCATATGTGATATTTTGACGTATGGTACCGGCAAATAATGTGGGCTCTTGGCTTACAAGTGCAATATGCTTCCTCATTGACCTTAGGTCATATGACCTTATATCTATGCCGTCGATTTTTACTACTCCTTTAACTGGATCATAAAATCTTTCAATCAACCCTATTATGGTTGATTTTCCAGAGCCACTTTCTCCAACTAATGCTGTTGATTTTCCGGCTTCGATTATAATTGAAAAGCCTTTGAAGATAATCACTTTGGGCCTTGCAGGGTAGGCAAAATCAACATCTTGTAACTCCACATGTCCAGTTAACTTATTAGGCTTGTGGCCTTCTGGATCCTCTGGCTCAATTAAGGAACGCCGATCCAACACTGCAAAAACTGATCCAACTGATTCAGATCCTTTAGCTAGATCATTTGTCATAGTCCCAGCATCGGCTATAACACGGCCTGTGCTCACCAAGATCATGAACGTTTGGAACAGTGCTTTTGATCCCATGAAGCCTTCTGCAACCATTTTACCACCATACCAGAAATCCAAAGCCCAAGTTAATGTCATGAGGCCTTGAGAGATCCCAAGCCCTATACCTGCAAACCATGATTGGCGAATATTTTCTTTTTGTGGGCCTTCTTGGGATTTCTCAAGCATCTGTAAAATTCTTGTTTGGGAGGAGAAGGCTGTGACAGTACGAATATTGGAAACAGCTTCCGCTGCAAGCTTGCTACTTTCATCTTGGGCTTTGATGGCCTTTTTTGACATGCTTTTGAGCAGGACACGCTTGCAATAGTAGCAAATTATGATAATGGGTTGTGCTGCTATCATTACCAATGCGAGCTTCCAGGCTATAATCAATCCCATGGTGCAAGCAATGGTCANTGATGATAGGTTGTGCTGCTATCATTACCAATGCGAGATTCCAGGCTATAATCAATCCCATGGTTCAAGCAATGGTCACTGCTGCGAAAGTTTGGAGAAGAAGTGACATCCTATCGCCCACCAAGGATCGGACCTGTAGAAACGTGAGATACCAATTTGTTAATAGATTCGATATAAGATTATAAGATATGGTACTTGAAGCATCCTCCATTTTACAGATGAACTGAGCTTTTATCAAACTCGTAGGACTAATCAAGATGGTACTTGGTTTTTGTTTCCAGATGGTAAGAAGTGTCAAAAGATGCTATTTAATAGAATTCCAAACAAGTTATTCTATTTTGAAGCACAATTCCATCTAATAGTGCAATGAGTAAGACTATTTATGTGTACACTTGGTTGACACTTCTTATGTGTCAAAATTCTAACCATTGATTGAAAAAAGTTTTTTTAAAATCAATATGTCCAAATCTGCCGTCACATAGGAGTGTAAATCAAGGTGTAAACCGAAGTGTACATATAGCATAACTATTTGTTTATTGAAATTTTAAGATCTTGGAACCCAAAAATGGTAAGATTTCTCCCATTGAAAGATTGGCATTTTGAAAGATTTGGACATTTACTTGCTTCTTCCATCTTGGGAAAGAAGTTAAAATGAACTTTATTAGAATTGAACTCGTCAATATAGCACATGCTATAACTACTAGTATGTCTTTTGTAGCAGAAAATCAATTAAAAAAGATAATGAATAAAATAATTTGCAATATTTTTTCTCCTAGCAGACAAAATTTGTTACTTCATTATAGAAGAGTACTTAATGAACTTACCACATTGGCATCTTTGGCTAGTCTAGAGCAAATAGCTCCAGTGGAATTCTCATCCTGATCAAACCAACCAATTTCAAAACTGAGTATCTTTGAAAACATTCTCTCTCTGATTCTTTTTGTCAAATACTCCCCCATGGCAGCAAAATTATAATGCTGGAAAATGTTGATCAATAGTGCGAAAATTGCCAACCCAAGAAAACTCAAAGAATATATTGCCGTCTTTTTCTTAATTATGCTGTGGTCCGTCTGAAAGTACACAGATATTAGTGATCCCATGGCAAATGCATAAACTGGCTGAATTGCACCAAATAGCATTGCGCTTATACATCCTAATATCGCTTCCCTCCATTCAGGCAAATTCATAGCCAGTAGTCTTCTAAATGATGGCACAGGTAGAACTTGATTACTGGAAATTGTGGCAATCTTCGCTCCTTGGCTTGGCGCTACTGTGTTATTTGTGCTGGCCTCACCAACAATTGATAGTCTTTTACTATCTGAGTTTTGAATATTGTTTGTAGTGGATATTGATGCAGCAATGCTATTAACATTTGCAGATTCTTTTTTATTCTCAGTTTGCTGTAGACGGACAAGTGAACTGTATAAGCTATTTTTATCTTCAATAAGCTCATCGTGTGAGCCAATCTCCATGACCTCTCCGTTTTGGACAACAGAAATGATGTCAGCATTTTGGATGGTGGAAAGACGGTGTGCTATGATGATGGTGGTGTGTCCTTCAACAGCCTTGTCAAGTGCTTCCTGAACAACTCGCTCTGATTCGGAGTCTAGAGCACTGGTTGCCTCATCAAGTAGGAGAACTCTCGGTTCCTTGATTAAGGCTCTTGCTATAGCAATTCTTTGCTTCTGACCTCCAGATAGTTGTACTCCTCTCTCACCGACCTGCACGGATTTTAAATGTTAGTGTTACTACTAGCAGGAATGAGCTCTGATAATCCAATAAGAAAGGTACTGAACACAACATAATCTGGAAAATTCTAATAGTTTAGTGGATGATCAAACGTGGGAACTTGTGGAACATCAGCAATTTAAAATATGTTGAATTGTGGAAATATCAGAAAATTAAGATTGCAAAAGCGAGCATAAGAGTGATTTATCAATAACAAAAGCAAGGAACAAGAAGACACGCGAGGCAAACCTGAGTATCGTAACCTTCAGGCAATTGAGTAATGAAATTATGAGCATTAGAAGCTTTAGCAGCCTCAATAACCTCTTCAAAAGATGCATCCTCTTTACCAAAAAGTATGTTCTCTTTAATTGTGGTAGCAAATAGGGCTGGCTCCTGACTGACCAGTCCCATTTGTGATCTTAGCCATTTCAACTGCAACTTGTCAATGGCAACCCCATCAAGAAGAACTTCACCATTGAGTGGATCATAAAATCTCTGTAATAGAGCAATCACTGTCGACTTTCCAGACCCACTTCCTCCAACCAATGCCATTGTCTTTCCTGCTGGGATTCTTAAATTGAAATCTTTGAAAATAATGCTTTCAGGCCTTGATGGGTACGCAAATTCAATGTGTTTAAATTCCACTTCTCCCATAACAGTTTGTAACGTTTGGCCTTCCTTGTTGTCCGAATCAATTTTCGGCACTCTTGATATGACTTCCATTATGCGTTCTCCAGCTGCAATTGCTTCGGAGAAGTACCTAAGGGTAGACAAACCAGTACCCAACGCTCTGTTCCAAAAAAAATCGGAAAAAGGAAAAAGAAAATACTAGTCAATTTATAGACTCGATATGCTTAATTAGGCAATAGTATTAATATCAAAAAATAAGAACAGTGCCATAAATACACACACACAATTGGAAGAAAATCCTTACAATCCACCAATGGCAATAGTGGCACCAACTGCAAAGACAGTTCCTCCTTTAGCGCCGTGATACATGACCAATGTACTACCATAATAAGAAATGAAAGACCAAATTGCAAAGACGATGCTGTTACTACCAATAGCCAAACCTTTGGCTAAACCTTGCCTTAATCCCAATTTTACAGTCCCTTGAAGAGCAGCAGAGTACTCAGCTTGAGTCTTGCTCTCCGCTACAAAGGAGTGAACTGTTCGAATGGAAGAAATAGCTTGCTCCACAATTGTTTCTGTCTTGCTGTACTCATCCCTAATCTTTTGTGCAATGCCCATCAGAGATTTTCCGTAAATCAAACCTGGTATCACAAGTAATATCGCAAATGGAAGTCCCACAACCGCTAGCCTCCATACCATTAAGAATGCCATTATATAGGCCCCCACAAAAGTCCATGAATTCATCAAAAAAACTGGAACCTGATTTGTTTTGAATTCAACCACCTAATTAATTAGCATATCTTACAAACATATCACAAAAACTGAAAGAAACAAGATCCACCAACCTTTTCACTAATGACATCTTGAATTACAAGACTATCGCTGGAAACGCTTGCTATGACATCTGCTGTAGAGGACACATGCAAATCAAAGTAGCCCACATCTTGCCTAAGCACTGCTTTTAAATAACTTGTTCTTAGACGTGAAGCCTGTCGTTCTGCTGTTCTTGTCCAACAATAACCCTCTAGAGAAAAACAAATTTAAATTTGATTCAATTTCAAACCTTCCTTGTAATTTGCTCATCTAAGGGTAAAAGGAGACCTACCAAGGAAACAAGCAAAAGATTGCCCACAAGCCAGGTAACAGAAACCCAATGCATTCTGTCACCAAAAAAATCCAATTCCAGGTGACAATATTAGCATGGCATGAACTATACCAATTCGCAACTTCGACAATTAGATTACTCAAATAAGGAAACAAACTAAGATAATTTGCTTAGCCACTTACATTGTAAAAATTGTGATTTAGCATAAATTACTAGAATGATAAATTTATACACTTCAAAACGATGTTCCATAAATTCAATTGGGAAAATTGAGGCCGTGGTCCCAAACCTTTCATTTTGTTGCAGATTACACCCAAACCTTTTATTTTTGCGGCTGAAGTCCCAAACCTTTATATGTAGTTGCAGCGTCGGTCTCAAGCCTTTAATTCCATCCATAAAA